AGCTATGGAGAAGATGAAAGTGATTCAAGAGAGGTTGAAAACAGAACAGTGTCGTTAGAAATTCTACACTGATGTTAATTGAAGGATGTTGGAATTTGAAGTAGACAACTGGGTATATCTAAAAGTTTCACCCATGAAGGGTGCTATGAGGTTTGGTAATAAAGGGAAGCTTAGTCCCCGGTATATTGGACCTTATTGAATATCCAAGAGGATTGGCAATATAGCTTATGAGTTGGAGCTACAACAAGTATTAGCAGCGGTTCATCAGGTATTTCACATATCCATGTTGAATAAATGCATGGGAGATTCTTCCTTGATCATGCCAACTAAAAAATATTGAGATCAAAGATAGCTTATATTATGAGGAGATTCTTGTTCAGATTTAGATCGCCAAGTTCACAAATTGAGAACAAAATAGATGGCATCAGTCAAAGTCCTTTGAAGGAACCAATTTGTTGAGGAAGATATTTGGTAATTGAAAGAAAAAATTGAGGAAGACATCCAAATCTCCTTGAATTAGGAGAAAGTGCATACCAAAGTACTAATTGTCCTCCTAGAACTCTTTAAATTATAAGTGAGCATGTTGTTTGTTTCCATTTGCTTGTTGGATGTATGAACTTGATGTTATTCCCTCAATTATTCTATTCCTGACTATGGGTAATCAATGAGCCCTTAGCCTAGCAAGAGTAATCTCATTCGAGAATGAATATTTCCAAGGGGGAGATATTGTAACATCTCGCAATTCAAAATAGCTGGGAAGAAGCTAAGAACTGGAAATAGTCAATTTTAGAAATAATTAATAATTTGGAAATTTACGTCAGTTAAAAAAAAAGAGTTTTGATCAACTTCAAACAGCCATAAATTCTAGCTCAAGATGAGTTAAGAGCACTTCCAAATATGGTTGTAATGATCTTTCTAACGCTATCGAATTTGCACGATTCCGAGTCCATATGACTGGTTATGCCCTTTGGAAGTTGGGCTGCGAGATTAAAGAAAGTCTAAATCAGAATTTTTGAAGGGTAATTTAGTCTTCACTTCAACTAATTATCCTAATTCTTTTTTAGAAGTTTAATTGGCGTGAAGTCAGATTTTGTTCAGTTTTAGAAAAGTGAATTAGCATGCTAGGGCATGGAGAGAGGAGAAAGGAGAAAAACGTTCAAGATTCGTCGAGATTAGCTTGTGGATTTCGTCGGGGGTGATCCCTACAAGGTATGAGAGATCACATAGCGTTAGGTTACTTCACCCATGCGCCAATCATGATTTAATTTCAGCAAAATTATTAGATTTTAAAGTAAATCCTTGAATTCATGTGGATTACGTTGATTAGAGTTTCTTGAGATTGATTCACGTTTTTAATTATACTTTTGAGTAGAATTTGACGTACTTTGGTCATATAATCGGCTCTAAGTGTTTGGGAAAATAACTCATGGAGTTTAGAGGGTTTAATGCTAAAAAACAAAGAAGAAATTTTGTCGGGCAAATCTGTTTTACGGGTAGTGGTGGCGCATAGCACACCTAGTTCCCAATTTTGTGAAAAATCATTTTGCGTCACGAAGCCATCATGGACCGTTCGGCCTCAAAAGTTATTTCAAAACCACAATCTAACTGTTTCTCCGCTTCATGGACCCAACTTAGATTTTTATTTTGATCATTTTCCCATTTTCCGACATTTAAAATCATTCCTAAATATCATGAGATCATTCCAATCACAAATCACGATCCTTGAATCCATAATTGAATTCAAGGAAACCTAAGAGTCAAGCCAAGAAATTAGGAGTTAAGTCAAGATAAGATAAGTACTTAAAGTTTTCAAAAGTCTTTCACAAATGCTTTAGCTTTGTTTTAAGAGTTAATCTTCAAAGTTAAGCAAAGAGTTCAGATTTGAAGTTCATTTCTTCAAAGAAGTATATGAGAACTATGTATTTACAAGAATTTTAAATTGTTTTCACATTTAAGTAAGAAAGGAAACTGAAATTTCCAAAGATCCTTTGAGCTAGTTTCAAGAAAAGAGTATATGCTTTCATAATAAAGCAACAGGGGAAACTTTGATTTCCAACGTAGCCTTAGAGCTAAGTTTTTGAGCACTAATAACAACTCATAGAAGGAAGTATGTTTTTAAAACATAAGAGCTAATATAATATTTTAAAGATGATTCCTTTAGTGATTTTTAGCATAGACAAGTGGATCCACTTCGTACTTCAGGTACCTATGGCAAGGTATAGGACGGTTCTAGCAGCATGAGGCAAATCGTTGTATCATCACAATAGCTCTTATGCTATGGTTTTTGGTTAGAAAAAGTCCCACAGAAGTTAATTGTATTTTTATATGCACAGCTTATTTTCATTTTTGCCTACATCTCAGAGTTATATTGTATCTTTGCATACATACAAAGTTTATATCATGTTTTAAACAACTTTTCTTTATATTGCACTTGTTTTAAAACTTCTTTATATTGAGATGGGTTCAGTCATGTTGAGTTCAGCTGAGCCAACTTAGTTTTCCAGATTCCTTTCAGCCTATGTTGTATTTAGCATTCCAACTCGCATACTCGTACATCCATGTATTGATGTCAGTTGGCTTATATCTTATTGTGATGCAGACACATGTAACTAGGATCGGCATCCAACGCATCGTTGATCCAGTGGGCAATTCAGAGTCTGTTGATGAGCCTCTTTTCATTCTGGAGGACTCCTCGTATTGCTTTCAGATTTACTTTTAGTTACTTAGGATGTTGTTGGGTTTGTCTCAACATACATCTAAGTTGTTTAGTTAATAGATAGTTAGACAGTTAGATGAGTCTTTTAGCTTTGTATTTCAGATGTTTTTCTATAAGACTTGGGTAGCCATTTTGGCCAGTTGAATGATTTTTTAAAGACATTCTCAGTTTATTTCACAAGTTCTTTATCCAGACTAATTCTTGTGTTTTAAGTGTTCCGCTGAGTAAGTAAGTCATGCCAAGGGTTTACTTGGAGTCAGTAATGGTTCTCAAGGGTAAGTCCCACCCAGGGTATTTGCTCGGGGCCTGACATAAACCACCATCCATCACAACTATCTAAGTCTATGAACGACAAGACCATCTTATTAGTAGTTCCATGGTTGCATCCCTTTCACCAGAAACTATACCATTTGTTACTGATGATAAAACTTCCTATGCGCTTTGGCAAAACCTTGCCACTACTTATGTGAAACAGTCGTGTGCTCACATAATAAGTCAGAGAGAAGACTTGAATACTATTTAAAAGGTAAATCTCTCTAATACTGTGTAATTGCATAAAAGAAAAGAGATTTGCACCAAGCTTGTTTCACTTAATGTTCACATCTCCGCTGATGAAGTTTTTCTTCATGTTGTACATGACCTTCCTTTCGAGTATGATAACCTTTTCTCTGCACTTTGTGCTTGTGAAACAGCCATAACCTTTCAAGATCACCATGACAAATTGATTGAGTCGAAGCTCATTTGACTCGTCGGTCATCCCAAACTGTGGCGCCAATCATGGTGAATTTTGTTGCTAAACCTCCTGCCTCTACCAACCGAAATTCCGATCGAGGTACCAATAACTCATGATCCATCAAAGGAATTTCCCTCCTTCCAATCATAATGGAAATGGAGATTATCGAGATCATTCTGGTGGTCAAAATATTCAACTCAGGGTCACCTATCAACTGTGCGACAAACTTGGCAATCACGTGAAGCAATGCAAGAAATTACTCTCCATTTTATCTGTTATCACAAATTCTAGACCCAATGGTTTTTTCAAGTAACTTCAACCGATCCAAGGATCAGCAACCCAAAGCTAACTTTGATACATAATCAACCAACGCAAATCCAAATTGGCTTGTCGATTCCGGTGCCTCTCACCATGTTACCCAAGAATTACAAAACCTTTCTCTTCACTCTGAATATTGATGATAAATCTCATAAGATAACCTATGCAAGATCTACTCTTATACCCTTTTCGTCTACCCCTCTCAATTTAAGTAATGTTTTATGTGTGCCTCATAAGAAAAAGAATATTATATTTACAAATTGTGCAGCGATAATCGTGTTTCGGTTGAATTCTTACCTTACTCGTTTGTTGTGAAGAATTATTGTACAGGGGCACCACTGGTAGCTAGGAAGCCTAACGGCGGTGTGTATCTATGGACTTCCAAGTACACTCTCCAAGCTATATCTAATGTTGTAGTCAACACCATTTCCACCACCATCGCTCACAGCTTGAATCGACTACATCCATGACAAGAAAGATCTATTTGAGAGGATGTATATATTGGTGTTGGTGTTAGTGTATTCCAAAAAAATCTATGGATGTAATTACACGAATGACAGCCCTCCGCGTCATTTTTTCAAGAGCATGGGTTCAATAAGAGGAATGACGTAAAAGATAAAATGTCAGTCAAAATCTTTTCCGATGAGGATATTTTGAGAATTCTTAGGAGATCCTCAACATTATTAAGTTGTTTGAATGAATTTTCAATGGTGTTTTAATGGCTAATAGTTGATTTTGAAAATGGGAATAAAGTAATTTACTTAATGATTTTGATTTTGTGGAGATTAGGAAAGAGAATTATATCTAGAAATTATGGTGTGTTAATAGAAACTGTAATTATGGTGTTTCCAGACCGTGATGGTGAAATTCGATGACTACCATGGATGCTCTACTAAGTTTCTAAGAAGAAGAAAAGAGATGTGATAAAAAAAAATAAAGAAAAAAATAAAAATGAAAAGAATATTTTACAATTAGTTTTGATATTTATTTTTTATCTTCACTCTTTGAGAGAGTGGAATAAACTCACTTTGCCACATAAGCATTTAGGGAGGTAATAATTTCCATTTTAAATAGTTCAGTGGGATAATAGGACTCCCGTAAAGTAAAAGTTTGTAGTTGAAAATCCGATAACAGATTGCGGGCTCATTTGGTCATTTTTTCTCTATAAATTTCTCTCAAGAACATTGGCATATACAGAAGAGGGTACAACCCAAGCCAAGACTATGCTAAAAATCTCAACTAAAGCAGTTTTATGCTGATTCACTGAACATTTATGTGATTTTGAGGTGGCGCTTCATTGCAAAACATTCCATTTTACTTGTGTGAATGAATGATAATGATGGTATCAAGGAAAAAAGGAAGACATTTTCAAAAAATGATATCCCACAACTCTCCAGCTACTATTGATTCCTCAATACCTTTGAGGAGACAATCTCAAACCTCGGTTATCAAATTGCCAATGAAACAGGAAATAATAAGGCACTACTTCCCAGTAGTGTTCCCATACTTGTGAAAGGGCCATAAGTTAGCGAGGCGCTCTAGAACTAATGCACTTTTTGAAAAGTAGCCTGAGAAACCTTGAGGGGTTGATGGTGGGGGGAAATCTTCAGCCGGCATGGCGAATGGATGAATCATATTTTCCATATTATCCCATGTAAGATGTGATCCCACTTCTTGAAGCCTTTCAGGAACCATAACTGGCAATATGTGCTCCTGATGCCATGAAGTCGCTTCCTTGTCATTTTTCTGCATGCAAACAAAGTAAATCAAACGACTCAAATTTCTACATTTAATTTTCTGCAAACTTATCAATGTGGTAATGATCCATTACTGTCACCACTATTCAGAAAATTATTAGTCCTTCAATGGACATGGTTTAGTTTCACATGCAGTCGCTAAACTTAGCCACAATAACAACAAAGTCAAACTCATTCTCACATATAATTTAACAGAAATATATCCACTATAACACCACAGAACTACTTTTCTTCACATTAAAACTAGTAAAATCACAAAATATTACCAGTTGTATCTGTAAAATCGCCTTGATGAGTACGTTTTGTTGTAATAGTGGGTAAATTTAGAAAATTTACTATTTTATAGTGGGAAAGTTCAATCACTTTAATGTTAAAAAATATGACCTTTTTGTTATAGTGGATACAGTTATGCGACCATACGTGCGAATAGCTCTAGGACTTCACAGGGTGGATATAGTAATCGTTTTTTTAATTACTTGAAAAGGATTCAAAGTACCTCTAATGATGATAGATCTGCTCCACGACTGAAAGTCATTTCTATGCGAAACCTTTTTGGATCTTCCAAAGCCACCTGAAACAAATAAGATAGGAAATGAATCCGGTAGACATTTCCCACACGAGTTTCTCATTTCCAACATAAGAAAACACAAATCTTGATTTGTACTTCACACATTTACTTCTAATAGTAAAAAAAATATTTCTGTCGAAACAAGTTGCCTTTTAAACACAGTTTGAATGGGAACACTGGAAGATGTAAAATCTGCTGGATTTATACTTGTATTAAGTTGCCTATTATAATCTATTCTTAGGTCTCAAAATAATGCATATTTATTTAGCTGCATTATCTTTTCCATTGATCCATACCCTAAGGCCATTAAAATCAAGAATCATCCCTAACTTTATACCAACGGAGAAGGCAGAGGGTCTTATTATGCTGAATGGGTTTGGAAAGAACACCTTTTTATCTAATCGAATATAAATGAAAAGGTTGAATGTTATTCTCAGTTATTATACATCTAACATTCAAGATAACACTTGTTATTTGTGGAATAGCAAGAACCAGAGGAAAAGGCAATGATGCACCATCACTACCTTCTCAAAACACAAAGTAAAGCAGTTTTTTAACTTCAAATCAATTCTGTGGATGCAAAAAAAAAAAGACAGGTATACACTTCAATAACTAGAAATACTATGGTCTTTTTTTTATTTGTGCTTCAGTTAAGGATCAATAGGGTGTACCAACCTCTGTGTTCTCAAACATCCTCAATACAATATGACTCATGTAGTCAAGCTCCTTGGTTCTGAACAAGCGATCTAAAGCATTGTCACACACAAGGCTGGCCTCTCCATGAAGAGACTCATCCAAGTTGCAGTAACGAATAACATTCATCAAGGAATGTATATGTGACTCCTGGCTCGTCAAACATTTGTAAAACTAGAATGTTAGACAAGGGAAAATGATGAAAACAAATTAAAATTAATGGTAAAGCTAAAACAGACAAGACAAGAAAAAAAACAAAAATTGAAAAGGGTATGTGACTCTAGGCCGTCAAACAATTGTAAAACTAGAATGTTAGACAAGGGAAGATGATGAAAACAAATTAAAATTAATGGTAAAGCTAAAACAAACAAGACAAGATAAAAAAAAAATTGAAAAGCATTATAAGAATTAAACAATAATTTAATCATAGAAGATTAGCAGAATTGATATTTTAAGGAAGGAAATACAAAGCTATGGGAAAATAGAGTTTGTAACATAACGTAAATCCAGTTGAAGAAAGATCATAAAAGGTTTTTGAGGCACTAGTCATGTAATATCATAACTTCATCCTGCTGCTGGCATCAAGTGTTTTTTAGACTTTAAAAGTCAGAATCAAGTGGAAATAATTCATGTTTGACCACATAAAAGTTGACTTGAACTCTTCTCCCTGCTATATCATCATGACTTTTCATAAATAAACTATCCGAGTCCACAAAACTGATTGTGTATCCTTAAGGAATTTAATCACATCGATGTACCCAAGGTCCTGGATTATTCCCTCCAGATAAAACGGATAAACTATTGAAGAACTAGTGGTACCTCAAACTTCGATAACTTCGTCGAACTCAAATAGCAGCAATGAGATCATAAAAAGACTCCATTTCGTTTTTAAGAAAATGTATTAAAAAAAGGAAAAATTTGATACAGAAATTTGAGAGGAAAATCTATTTATTTCTAGTCAACAAAGGGTAGTATGAAAAAGTGTTAATAAAGCCTTACCGGAGAGGTCACAACCCTTTGGAAAAGGGACAACCTTTTAGAAAGGTCACAACCCTTTGAAAAAGGCACAACCTTTGAAAACAATCACAACACTTCAGAATAGACACAACCTTTCGTAAAGGAAAAATATTTGAAAAAGTCACAATATTAGGATCGAATTCACGCACACACACTAGATTAATGAAGAACACATAGAGAGAGAGAGAAAATCCAATATTTCGTGGTAACACCCCGTGAGTAAACTTCCACGGCGGTGAGGTACATTTATATTAATAAATCAGAGTATTTTTGGTTACAGAGAATAAATAGAGAATAAATAGAAAAGCCTAAAATAGAGAATAAATAGGAAAGCCTAAAATTAGTCAGGCTCCACTACCTAACACACAACCGTTCATTTCTCATTCACACCTTTAAAACCCAACAATTTCCCACATAAATGGGGAATGACTACCGTTGAAACATATGCATGACAAACTATGTGATTCGTAAGTAAGGATTAATTGCATTTGGATAAGTAGGTTTTCCTTTAAACTTTCAATAATGAATATATATCAGATATACTCGGTCAATCAGTAGATTTGATATCTTTGAACCGTCGAGCTTTGGTGTGTATCTAAACAACATAACTCTCACAATCAACCCTTTAACTATTATTTGGCTCTCCTTATTTTGTTCATTTCAATCACGAACACATCTTGGTTTATAAGTGCACAAGGAATTGTCTTACCAAATTTTTCTTGAAACGGCTTACACTTAACACTTACATAGCTGATTTCTAAATGTGTTATCCCGTAGATACACCATTTGATATACCATGTATCAAATTTAGAAATCATTATAAAGTCTTAATGTGTTTATCCTTGTTACTGAACATTTCTTCATCATGGGAATGGACCATAAATAATTTTGATAATGTTGAACCGTCATCAATGACTATGTTTGATCTCCTTGAACCTAGATCTTGGGATCTCTAGTCTTCTAGGTAGAATCACCGTCACAATGACTTGTCCTTGACCATAGTCTCATTTCCTTTGATGATCTATCTATTCCTTCTCTAATTAGGCATTTTACAAGTGGATCTAATACATTATCCTTTGACTTAACATAGTCAACTGTTCCACTAGAGAGTTACTCTCTAACAATATTATGTATACGTCTTATATGAAAAGATTTTTCGTTATACATCATGCTTCCCTCCCTACCTATTGTAGCTTAACTATATTAGTGTATGCATACAGGTGCCAAAGCCTTGGGCTAAAAAAGTGTCTTCCAAGAAATTCCGAAGTCATTAAGTTTCTTCACCAGCCTTATCTAGAGCGATAGAGAGATAAACTCCAATTTCATCATGGAGCGAGCGATACATGCTTATTTGAAAGATTTTCAGGAGACTGCTTCTCCACTAAGAGAAAATACATACTCACTCGTGAATTTTACTTTATTTGACCCGATGATCCAATTTGCATCACTATATCATTACAATCGTGCTGAATATTTGTTATAATGCAAAGTACTCCTAAACTCTTTTCATTATCATCCAATTATTTTGATTTAAATTACTTATGAAACAACTCAATTTACTAATAACACATGTGATCGCATGCAGTTCATGATATACATCATACTTCTCATTATTCTAGCATAATCCAATTGTGAATCACTTTCATCTTCATTCTTTTAAAGTGCTAAACTCACATTTATTGGAGTCTTGATAGTATTGAAATTCAAATACCTGAACTTGTGAAGTACCTTTTCAATGTAATGAGAGTGTGAAAATGTTAAACCTTGTGGAGTTCTAAGTATTCTTATACCTAAAATTCACATAAAAAACTCCGAAGTTTTTCATCTCAAAGTTGTTTTCTACCTTATGCTTTTAGTAACATTTATGTCAGAAGTGTCTCAATTCATGATCAACATGTCATGTGCATATAAACAAACAATGACCTTGTGATTTGGAGTGTCTTTAATGTAAGTACACTTATCACATTAATTAACCTTAAATCTATTTGTCAATTTGATTTGGTCAAACTTTTCACGACATTGTTTGGGTGCTTGTTCTAGTCCATAGAGTGACTTAACAAATTTCGCACACTTTCTTTTCTTTAAAAAGATCACAAACCCTCGGGTAGCGGCATGTAAATTATGCCTCCAATTCTCCATTTAAGATAGTTTTTTTTTTTCATCCATTTGACAAATTTGAAGATCCTACACCGCTACTAGTTCAATTGACATATGAATGCATGTAATCCTAGAAAGTGGCCATTATGTATCAAAAAAGCAAGACCTTCATCAACTTCCATTTTCCTTTTGAAGATCCACTTTAAATTTGAACCCAAAGGATTATTTCCTCGAGAAAGAGCAACCAACTCTCAGGTATGGTTTCTCAAGATTCAATCGATCTCACTACTGACAACCTCTTTCCAAATCAAATTCGAAGTAAGTAGACTATCTTTCAAGAGTTATTGTATGTATATACTTTAAGGGGCGATAAGCAATTCTCTATCAGGATAAAACAAGGTTTGAACATAAAAAACTTAGCTCTCTTTATGAACAGACAACTCTTTGTTGCTCCCAATCTGAACAGACAAAACTTTTTGTTCTTCCTTAATGATAGCTTCCTCCCACAAGTTTTATAGTAAACATGAACTTATAAGTACACTCAACATTTCCTTCAATCTTCAATTTTTCCTTATTGCAATTTCATTAGACTTAGGTGAGAACGGGTAATACTTAGGGGTGATTCCATTTTCAAAACATATTCCTGCAAAAGGAGATTCATATTTTCCACCTGTATCCGTTCTAATCATTTTTCTCTTTTTATCCAACTAAATTTTTAACTTCAGTTTATAGCCTATATGTTTCTATTGCTTCTTCCTTACCATTCATCAATATGTATAACAATATCTAGTGGTCAATAAAAATTATAAAATATTTTTTCTCACCATGTTGACTTGATATCACAAATGCGAGTGTGAATCAACTCTAAGGGATTTTTCTTTCAACAAATTTATAGGAAAGCTTAGCATATTTAGCTTCAACACAAACTTGATATTTTTATTTATTTAACTCGCAGTTAGGCAAAATTCTAAGTTGATCAGTTCGCAAGGTTTTGCAATTGACATGTGTCAAGTGTCCATGTAAAAACAGTTCAACTCAAGCCTGTAAGAAAAAGCAGAAATTTTGAGTTTGAAAATATCCTTTCTAAGATAACTTTTCCCCACAAATAATTGGTTCTTTACTTTTTTATAAATTTGTCAGATATAAACATTGTTTAAAATTAGTACCTTATCACATGTCCTTTTCAGAAATTCCTTTACATAACCTTCAATTATTTATTATTTGGCAGTTGAGATCAAATGCCAAATCCAATTTGGTCTTTATGGCAAGCAAAGAACCCCACATTGTAAATATGATCTCAAAAATATTTTTCAAGTACTTGAAAATAATTTTCCACATATTTTATTTCAATGCTTTCATGTTGTATACCATCGAAATTCACATTGGCATCGTGAATTCTCTTTTGGAGATTATATTTTACAAAAGAACTATTAGTCCTTCAATTCTCTTTGACAATCTTTACAAAATGTCAAAGTATAATTCATAGAGACACTCATAGGTGGCACAAAATCACTAATTTTATCTCACTAATATTATTATGCTTCTGTACATTAGACAGACCATTTAGTATTTAGAATACTAACAATAAAGACTGAATCTTTTTACAACTTGTTTCTAGTTAACTATGAAGATTTATATGCTTCAAATTGTCAATCGAATGAACTTTCAATGCTGATGAAATTTTTATGACTTCAAATCAGTTTTAGATTCAGATGGAATAGAAAACCAAGAGGTTTTAATCTCCAGAAACCAAAAATATAACACTGTTTCTAGTTAATGATGAAGTTTTTATATTCTTCAAATCGTTTTTATATCCTTCAGGTCGGAATATTCATTCAAATAGCGTGTTCAATAAATTGATGAAATTTTTATATTTTTCGAATTAAATATACATTCTAATTTATCAGGTAAAGTTTTTATAACAAACCAAAGGAGTAAAAAATTAAAAGATTTTAGACTCCAAAAATCAGACACAATCAAATTTCACAATATTTAGAAAATTATAGTAGTTTCCAAACATAATACGAATTATTAATAATAAAAATATATTTTATGGTCATCACATAATGAAAAATAAAGAAGCCACCCAATTTTTACTGCCGTTGAGTCATATCTATCTGTCACCAATCATACCATACAAGTAACTTTTCTTGTTTGAGAAAAATGACAGCAAGGCCAAGTGTCAACCATAGCATCCATAAATTTCCCATAACCTTTCAAATCAGATTTGTACCATCTCTTGCTAAAATAAAATTAAAGTTTCCATCATACTCTATTTTTTCTTAGAATGCCTTGAATTCAATGAGAAACTAAACTCATATTCTAATATTGTTAGGAGACAACATGTGCTCATTTATTTCTCACAGTTAGATAAAAACAAAAATACATGAAAAACTAACTAAATTCATTAAGTTTGTTATATCCTGTATTCAGAATAGTAAACCAGAGACAATTAAGAAGAAAAAATTAACTATCCGAGTCCACAAAACTAAATGTGTCCTTAAAAAATTTAATCCACTCACTGTACCTGAGGTTGTGGATTATTTCCTCCAAGAGAAGACGGATAAACTATTAAATTCTTTAATGGTGCCTCAAACTTCGATAACTTCGTCGAACTCAAATAATACCAACAAGATCACACAAAAACTCTATTTCGTTAAAGAAAATGTGTGAAAGAGAAGGAAAATTCGATGCAGAAGAATGAGTGAAAACACCCTCTACTTATAGCCAACAAAAAGGGTAATATGAAAATGTTTTAATTATGTCTTACCAGAGAGGTCATAATCCTTTGGGAAACGGACAACCTTTTAGAAAGATCAAAACTCTTTGAAAAAGGCACAACCTTTAAGAACGGTCACAACCCTTTATAAAAGACAACCTTTCGACAAGGACAACTCTTCGAAAAAGTTACAACTCTTCATTTCTCATTCATACCTTTAAACATGTATCACCTCAATTATTTATATTTACAGACCGTCATATTTCTACGTGTTATGCTTTTTTGTGTGTGTTTAGCCAGTTATAGCTAGAAATTAAGGGTGTAGGGTTCACGATTAGAGGAAGAATGGAAGAAAAGCACTGGCAGTTGCAGCACAATACAGTAGAAATAATTACAACACTCAAATGCAGGTTTTCACTCACTGATGTAAAGTAAAGGCGTGTCCGCACATGTCTTTCTGGTGTCCTCACATTTGCATACCTGACAAAAGAAAATCAGAAAACATCAGAAATAATAAAGTAGATGTATTTAGCAGATTTTCCTTTATTTTTGGAGCAATGTCTGAATGTCCATAAGACGAATACGGATTCAGCAACTATCTTTATTTATAAATGATTAAGACCACATACTTTGGATCTAACCGGTACTTGGTCTCTTTGTCCTCATCATCATCCTGGTCTGTTGATTTTTCACTGGTGAAGCTACCTCTTTTTTTAAGTTTGTGATCACTCCTATTGTTAAGCTTGGGATGATATTCTGTATCTTCATTCCCCGTCTCATTCACTGATGAATCGTGGTCTTGACTACTCTTCAAGTCAGCAACGCTTAGAGCTTCTTCCCGAGTATTCCTCAGATCAATCAAAATTTTACCCAACAATCGTCGAGCAATCTAAAATGTCAAAATCTTAGATGATGTATTCAAGTCTCTATGTAGCTTTCATTTACAATAAAGCAAAGGTCTACCAGATATATGATTTGAATGTAATTGAAAGGGACTCCTGACTATTCAGAGCTACTTTATGTTAATTTTTAGCAGTCAGATCAACAAGCAAAAAAGCCATTCACATGAACTTGCCTGCATTCCTTGCCTCAAAATTCAGTGCTAAACCTCAACACTCCTTAACTCATGAACTAGATGTGCTAGGTTGTATTTGACTATAGGCATAGGGGCAGAGGATTCCATCTAGATATACCCTAACAGAAGCAGAAAGTAACTCTGCAAGCTACGAGAAATACCAAAACTTTTGTCTTTCAAAGTCCAGCCACTTCTTTGTTCACTCTTGAGACTAAAAATTAATTTTGGGTTATCAGTGACAGTACATGTAGTAGGTAGACAAGAAGTAGGTATAAATTATACACAGAGGAAAAATGTGAAAAATGAAAATATCTCTGAAGAACTTTACTTTTGATCCAATCTTCAGCTTCTGCTTTGGATTGATCCCATACTCATTGGGAATAACACCGTCTGCGAGGAGCTGAAATGCAAAAGCAGAGTAATATCTTATAGAAGTTAGACATGCTTACTCTTAAGTCAACACTCAAAATCTTCATTGTACGACAACATAGACAATGGACAAATGAAACTAGTAGCCTAAAGATAAGCCACTAAATCAACAGCACCATCACAGTTATTTGTCACTACTGAGAAAAAACTTGGGGAGCTCAAAACAGTACACTTTTCTCTAACTTGTTTGTACCTTTGCAACTTCAAAGAGTTCATCCAAATCCTCTAGCTTTAGATGTGAGTTGTGCACACGATCATACCTGTGAAACAATTCAGAAAATAACTAAAACAGACACTCTATGCATATTATGGTCTTTCAGTGGAACTTTAATGAAGAAAATCCTTCATCTTTTTTGCATTAAGAAAGCAATAAGGGCTGACTTACTTGCAAGAATCATAAACATCTGGAATTTGGGTGATATCATAACGACTGTAATAGAATAGTGTGTTAGGGAGAATATAAGCAATAAAGATACCACTTTAATAAAAAAATCAGTAGACAGATTCAATGAAGGACAATGGCAAAGTATCTACAGGTCTGAGTAGCTATAAAATACTCAATTATAAAAGAAGTTAATTCAACTAGAAACAGCTTACTCTTTGCGTTCATTATATAAATCTCTCTCAAGCTTTCTCCAACGCACATACATGAGTAGAAATCCCTCACTGCCACAAGGTAAGCCTGCAGCAATACGATCAACATCTATATTTGTTTTACCAAGTGCTTTAGCTTGATCATATGGAGGAATCACATCATAGGAACTTGTCTCTGCGAGTTCTTCATCTTCATCCTTAGCAAGCAGCTTCACTTGTTCTGTCACCTTCTTTGTCAATTTCACCTGATTGCAAGACAGATTTGAGATGATGAAAATAGAAAGGCCCAAAGCAACCAAAAAGAAAAAAGAAAAGAATACACCAAAAAAACAAATCCAAAAGCTTGAAAATAAACCATGTCACAGAGAAGGAAAGGAAGTGGAGCGGGGGCATAAACAGGATAAAAATGCAATAATGAGAATGAAGAACATGCTGCAGATGGTTGAGGTTTATTTTGTCAAGAAGATTGATCCATCAGGACATTCAAATTAAGACTTACCAACTTGGGCATAAGTTCAGATGCATTAGGTGGGAGTCCACCTCCATCAACCATCCAAGGCTTCTCTGAAGATCCACTAGTCTTTGGTCCAGAAGTAATTATGTCATTCAACCTCGCCTATGACAAGGGGAAAGTTTATCTTAACAATCACAAACTTGTAAAAATTCAAAGGTCCTAAAGATCCTCACTTTGGAAAAAATATGCTGGAAGATTTACTACTATCTATGACTTGCATCATTAAACTATCGAGTAATTTCCAAAAGCTAAAAGGAGGCTCTGACATTCAATAAACCACTCTGTCAAAAGTACCTTAATTCTGGTATTAGACCATCAAATTCCAATGGTTCTCGTATGCTTCAAATGCATCACAATTACACCATGATAGAGCAAATATTTGCAGCATGCACTTTGGGTTCTAATGTAATCTTTATATTCAGTTTAAATTAAAGAATACTTATTTTAGGTAGAATATAGAGGTAAGGTCATGTCCACAGGCAGATTGAAGTCAAATATCATAACACTCTTTGACAACAACTTCATGTTTTAATATGGAAGGGGAAAACTCAGTGGCCAGCTTTTTTTGAATATGACCACAGTATGTAAAAATTTGTCAAAAAGGTTAAGCTTATGTGCTCACTATTTTAAGCTTTCACTGGAGCCTGTGACTACTGCTAGATCATTTGAACTCTTCACTACTAAAATCCATATCAGAAAACGGAAGTATCCTCGAACACAAAAAGAACTAAGGATTAAAAAACAACCACAACCTCAAATAAGAACTAGTTATAGATCTTCAAATATGATAACAAACTTATAATTCAATGCAATAATAGAACAACCTTTGCTTCTTTTATCTCAACACTTGCATTGGCAAGCCCATCCAGCATAGATGAATCCTTGCTAACCAGTGATACCTTCAAGTGAAAAAGAAATATGTAGTTCATTTAATTTCAGTTGTGAATTCAATACAAGAAGCAGAGATTTGAACATGGATACAGACCAGGATAGGTGTTAATTGTCCTTCCAGGTCAAGTAGACCTTTGGCAAATGCAGCGGCGGACATCTACCAACAATATGTGTACAACGCAAACTCAACGATTAGAGAAGAAAATAAATATAGTTTTTTGCATATATAAGAGCTGAATAATCTAGAGAACTCATATGAGATAATTTGATATGCCAAAGAGTTAGATGGAAAAGAATTGGAGAACAAAGAGAAAAACAGTCGACACTTCCAATGTTCAATAATATATTAAGGCGAGAAAAGAAGAAAACCTGCACGCGACCTTCATCTGAGCTGTATATCTTTAAGTCATGACGATATGTACTATGGAGACGAAGTAGGCCAGTACCTTCACCTGTGGTTCAAAGCAGAGGGAATATAGTATATGCAATAACCATTACCTCATCCCACACCCCAAATACAAGATATCTGACTGACCAAAACGCAAAAAAACGAAAGTTCAGTCAAAAATTATTAATCATTTGCATCTACAGTGATTGGACACAACATTCTTTTACAAGGGTTTTAAGTAGGAAGTATTTTATCTGGAAATTTCTAAATGTCAAGTCAGAAAACATTATGAAAAGCCTGACATGATATGACTTTAGAGAAAAAAGTTTGGAAAGTCAAATGTGAGACGTCCAAGAATCCAAGCCAAACCTGGATATATGTCATTACGGAAGTATCTTCCAAGCTCTTCAGCCTGCCAAGAAATTTCAAAAAACAAGAAGAAAGATTTAACTTGGGAAAGACAGAAGGAAACATTAAACTAAATATTACTGTGTAGTAGAACCTGCTTTCTTCCAGCATGAGTGAGAACACCTCCATATTTTAGAACCATAAGAGCTTCAGTAGGTCTTTCTTCTTCACCTTCACCATTAGATTTGGGCACTTTAACCCACTGTAGTGGCTTTAGCTGAACTTTTCTATAGATCCCAGAAAAATGGCCCCCCTGCAATCAAACTTATATCTTAACAATTGGTAAGAACTGAGCACTTGATAGCATGTCAATTTTGAACAAGTTAGCCACATAATCTCCAGTTTGAGAAATCAGTAATGGAGAAAGTGAAACAAGAATTCTGCCATATTAAAAATTATATTTGTCATCATTGTATACCATAGACCTCTACTCCTCTATCCACCCAAACATACCATCAATTCACACGTACCCAAGCTATCCCTACAAACTAGACTCCTTCCATACGCCTCTTGAAAACACACAGTAACCCAATTCCAAATTCCTCTCCTCAAACTACAGGCAAGCAAACACTAGCCCCACTTGGAATTATTCCATTACTAGTGTTAGAACATAAATAGAACAAATAGTATATACAATATTGTTTAGAATAGGGAAAGGAGTAGGAATATTATATAGAGTCCTATTTGGAAAAGGATTATAATGAAGTGTCTGGTTGGAAAAGGAGCCTAATGTAGTGTCTATAATATGGTTTCAATGTAATTCAATAATAATTTTTTTCAATATCTCACATATTATAAGAGCTTCTACAATCTTGGTAGACTTTTTTTTTAAAAAAAAAAAGGTTTCGTTGCAGGTGGGTGGCTATTACCCATATATGTCGCCCGTATGGCCATTGGTTATGTTAACAAAATTAGGGCCAATGATATATGCATGAACCCTATATTGACATATTCAGGGGAAGAAAACTTAGTTGAAGAGGTCACCGTGCATCAATTTCTGGCGACTTTCTAAGGTTGTTTTGTGTCAACCCGTATCCGTTAGTGTTTGTGTAACACCATGCCATCTTTCTGGCGACTACTTTCTCATATCTGTTTCGTGTAACACCGCGACATCATTTAGGTGACTACTTTCTTATATTTAATTTGTGTAGCACCGAGTCATCTATATTTAACTTGTGTAGCACCGTATCATCTTTCTGGTGACTACTTTATTTTGTGTAACACTGTGTCATCATTCTGGTGACTACTTTATTGTGTGTAGAACTGTACCATCATTTTGGTGACTACTTTATTTTGTGTAGACTGAGCCATCTTTCTGCTGACTACTTTTTCCATATTTAATTTGTGTGTAGCACTATGCCATTTTTCTGGTTATTACTTTTTCATGTTCAATATATGTAACACCATGCCATCTTTTCGGTGAATATTTTTTCATATTTGATTTGCACTGCTTTCTTTTGTGTAGAATGGTGTCAGCATCTTGGTGACTACTTTATTTTGTGTAGATTGTGTCATCTTTTCGATGACTACTTTTTTCGTATTTAATTTATGTGTAGCATTATGCCATTTTTCTGGTGACTACTTTTCATGTTTAATATATGTAGCACCATGCCATCTTTTCGGTGACTACTTTCTTATTTGTGTAGGTTTGTGCCATTTTTCTGACCCTACCCAAAATTTCATTTCTCATATTGTGTCCACTTTTAGCCATCAAATCTAATACCTCGACGCATAAGCATGTTACAACCAATTTTTCGTTGATTTTCTTATTTACTATCGACTCATCTATTGATTCCAAGATGATCCATGTATCTTATATCAAATTTGGAGCACTTTTCGGCGACCAATGCATTGTGAAAAGTCTATATGGAGCAACCAATTAATATTTTTGCTCAGGGGAGTTTGGTAACCTGGTATATCAATTACGTAAGCTACTATATGGTTTGAAAGTCTTCTAAAGCTTGATTTGGGAAGGGCAACACTATAATTCAGGAATTTATCACTCTTGTATTTTATTGACACGGCGCATCAAATCTAGTATTTCATGAGAAGACTAAGCACATTGAGATTGACTACCAATTTTCTGAAGTCAAGTGATCAACAAGCAAATATCTCACCAAGCCCCTTATCGGTCCTTGTATTAACTACATTTGTATCAACTAGGTACATATGACTTGTATGAACTAGCTTGAGGGGGAGTGTTAGAATAGGAATCAGAACAATAATAGTACATAAAATCCTACTGTAAATAAGAATAGGAGTAGAAATAATATATAGAATCCTATATAGAAAAGGATTCTAATGTATTGGTTATAAATAGGGTCTCAATGTAATAATGTAGATAGACAATTTAATAATATTTTTTCTCCCATATTTCTCACAACCATTTTGTAATCTCGGACTTCAACGATGCCCTTTGAGTAAACCACAATGCAACACAAGAACTAAATCATTAACTCCCCACCCCCTACCCCTACCCCCACAGACACACCCTTTCACTACCCTAAATGGACTGTTAGAACAAGTACAAAAGGGCCAGCATTTCTGTGAGAATGGATAAAATATTTACACGCTTTTCGCTATGAGAACTATAGAATCTTGTTTTTCCACAAGGCAGCTGGTTAATCTTAACCACATATCATTACAAATAGCTTTTGATACACGTGTTGAAGCAATGATATTTATATAGAAGATAAAAAACACTCTTAGATCTTTGCACAACACTCATGTCCCCACTTCATTTAGGAGTTTATGGAAGTAAGTCCTCCATCTTCGTTTTATAAGAACCTTCTTCACCGATACTTAACCATCATCATCTTTAATGCACCTCACTTGGATCTAGATCACACGTCCTCCTTTTTATGGTCTTGGAGATCCTATACAACTTTTTTCCCTACCTATGTACTCTAGTTCTTCGTACAAGCATTTGAATAATGTCATTTTAGCCGTCATGACCACTATCTTTGCTAACTCTCCCTATTCAATGTCTTCTCCTCCTCGCATTTTGTCTCTACGAACTTTCCATAAGCATAATTTGTCATGTTTCTCTCCCCTGTCATTTTTCTTTGAATTGAGGCTTGACTTGTTCGAGCCGAGGATCTTTTAGAAACAACATCACTACCTCTCTGATGTAGTGATAAAGCCTATGTACATTCTATCCGCCTCATACCACACTTAGTGGGATTCCATGGGGTATGTTGTTGTTGAGCTTCCTGTAAGCAACCTTCTTGGATTTAATACTCTCTATTCCACCTCTTGTTTTCTCTATGCCCACCAAAATTTCTCTTCAATACCCCTACTCCTTCGTTTCTTCCCTAATACACGTAGGTCTTATTTGTTTACATTAAGATTAAGAGGTCTGAATCTGAATATACATCTGAATATTAAGATTTGTATTAAGATCCAGATGTTTTATTTTAATACATATCTGAATATTAAAATGTCTATCATCTTAATACATATCTGAATACTAAGATGTGGTCTCTAAATCTGAACACTAAATAATTAATGTTATTTGTTTTTAATATATGAATGTGCATCTGAATTGAATATTATATTAATAAAAAATTATAAAAAAATTCATTTCAACAAAATATGACCTATTCAAGCTGAAAAACGGGGTTGCTCCCTCACTTTTGATTAAAAGAACAAGCCTTAAAAGTTATAATTATCATGATTTGAAGTACTAGTTTTCATTCAAAAACCTTGATAAACAACAATACACCAAAAATATTATTTGAACCAATGTTCTTGACACATGTCAATAAAAGAAAATAATTAATATTAAAAAAGTATTTGGAAGGATTTATGAAAACTTACCAGTTCAAGAGGGAAAAAATGGTGTTTGGTTGAGAAAAGAGAGAGAGTTTTTGGTTATGAAATAAAAAGGCATGCCCAATTATTTGATAACTTATTAAATGAGTCTGAATGTTGTTAAAAGTCTCCTACGGATCTGATTCGTTCAAACCTCTTCAGACACATTCAGTGGACTTCTCCCTCAACTGTTGGATTTTATCCTTAAGAAGTCCCCCAATCCACCCCATTCTTGATTGGCCATACAAAGCCCTCTTCGTCCTATTTCTTTTAATTGGGTTTTAAGGTTCTCACTCAATATAATTTTGCAGTCCTCGTCTAAACCTTTATTACTCTTCCTAAAGAGTAGATAGTAGATTTGGGTCTTGGCCACCATACTTCAAGAAGTGACCAAGTGCTCCTCCTCCTACTGAAAATATGAGTTAACTATCACCAAATCAAGGCTCTTGCAAAGTCCAAATGTGCGACTGCTAAATTTCTTTCCCCAAAACCAAAATTTCCATGCACATCATCGAAGACCATAGAAGTTGTCCCGGTCTAGCCATTGGGATCTCCTCCTAAAAATATTAATGTCGTGAGAAGGATACATCGTATGACCTCATCCAAATCCTCCAAGAAGTGCTTTTGACCTGCTCGTCCAAGCCCATTTGCAGTGCGTAAGCACTTATAACATTATAAGTAAGCCCTTCAACAACTAGCTTAATGCTCATCGTCCTGTCATTCACCCTCCCAACCTCTACCACTAGTTCCCAGAGTTCAATATCTACTGAATAAGCATAATTTCAATTATCAGAGGACAACTAAAAGTATTATTAATATTAACTTCCCATAGAAATGATTGGTGAAGAAAGAAGAGAATTCTTAAGAAAAAAGATTGAAAACAAAATCCAGAAGAAAATAATGGTCAAGTTTTGAAAGACTACTGAATAACTCATTCGAAATGTAAGATTAAATAGACAAGCAACGTGCAATTTAAAAAAAAAATAGACTAAGTTTATTTAATATTGAAATTCACAAGGGAGGTAATTTGATCAGGGTAGGGTAATCCTCGATACCAATCATGTTATTAGAAGTAAGCAGAGGTTTCAAACTTTTTTCTTTTTGAAACGGGTGGGGTGGGGGGTTAAACCCCAAAAGCAAGGCAAAGGACAAAAAGGAATTAAAGTAGCAACAGTTACTTCTAAATAAATTATTATCTGGAATGACATAGCCTAGATATCTAAGAAAGTATAAAGAATTAAAAGTAAAATATATTAGAATTATCCTCTAGCTTATTACGATATTCCTTTCATGTTCTTTTAAGAAAAGAAAATGAAAATAATTTGCATTACAACATGAATTAACAATGACAGTATGACATGCTAAATGTATAGAGCAAGAAGATAGTGTCGACCTCCTCAAGAACTGCTTTAACTTGACGTAGCTTCTCAGCATGCTCAAAATCTTCTGCTTCACTATCACTTCCCCTACCAGGTCTATACAAAAGAGTGAGTAACAAATTCAGATTGGTCTTTTCCAATTAGTAAATAACAATCATTTTTTCTTTGTAAATTACAGCATTTTATTCTATAAGAATGGAAGAGACTGAATAGAATCAGGACAAAAATAGCAAAAATTGATCAGTAAAGGGTGTCATGCATCAGATAGCATATTCCAACATACAAGGAAATCAACTCTTTTTAGGGGCAACAGTCGAATTCCCATTATTTAAGTGGTCCCAAGAGTTGAAATAACCAAGTAGTTTCCCATAAGACAGGAAACCCCTTAGGCTTTTTCAGAAAAGGAACATGATACGTTTACTTGGAAAACACGTTGTACACATATGATCCAAGTAAACATTTAGTCTAAAGCATTTTGTTGTTTTACTCTTAAGTCTTTCCTTTACTTTGGGCTTCTTGAGGGAACAGGATTTCACATTATCAGGTCAAGAAAGGTGAAAAATGATCATTATAATTAGAACACTTCCTCTCTAGTTATCAGAACACTGAAAGCAACAATGACTATCATATATCATCAGTATGAGTCTAAGAGATAGACTGAACCCAACCACAACAAATTCATTAACTACCCAAAGTGCGTTGTATTTTGAGAATAAGGACACAAACAGGATTATTCCTTCTGTTTATCATTACACCCATAGTATAAAAACACACAATCCTGGAACAAACAGAAGCCTTACAAATAAATATATTCTAATAAATGATTGAAAAGAATTGAGAAACAATGATCAACAATAATTTGCAACACACATATTACAGTAAAAGATGTGTAAAAAAAATGCTAAATAGAGTGTATTAATAATGATTGATTAATTATTTTGTACTAATTATGTATAAAATATTTTGTGTGCATTGTTTTGTTTGGAATATTAAAAAAAAACATGCATTGCATAAAAATATGTATTTAATCAAATGTATCCTCCACAATTATTGATGGAAAAGATGTAAAAGGGGTTTGAGAAGTAATTGGGTCTTTAATCATGCTAATGCATATATTATATCTCATTGCATTACTAATACCAATGCATGCATTAATTATACATAGCATGAAAAGGTACTAAATAAGGTACTACTAATACACAAAGTTAATGCATGTATGCAAATATTTTTATTTCAAAGTATTATTTTATTAAATATATTTACAAAGCCAAATAATTCAAAATGTATTTGATAAGTTTCTTGGAGAAATGGCAACTACATTACACTTGGCAGTAGTTTGCCTTTCTCTTGACACCTCCTTTGGCACTTGTCAAGGACAAGGTAATTTTTTGGCCTATAAAAGGCATGAATTTTGTGAGCAGAAATATAAAAAAAAAAACTTGCTAATATGTTTTATTGTTTCTCTCGCCCGCCTCCTTCTATAATCTTCTCATTTTAAGTTTAATAAATTTTGGCTTTGTTATTATATCCCCTCTAACAACTTGCTAATGTTAATTAATTTGCTGATTCATGTTGCCTTTATTTAAAATAGGGAAGTACTTGTTTAATTTGGGAAATATTGTTGGGAAAACGCGGACAAGCACAAAAGTATATATGGTAAAAGTAATGGAAATAAAATGAGAAAATAACGACACCAAGAATTTTACGTGGAAACCCTTCTGAATAAGGGAAAAATCCACTGGCCAAGAGAAGCAACTGATATTACTATAGTAAGAAATTTTACACTGTGTAGTCACGAATACAACACTCAAAGTGACTACTACACACTCAAAAGGAACAACACTCTTTTGGTTTCCGTCTTACTAAAATATCGCTCACACTCTATTTTTCTTCATAGACTATATTCTTATATAGTCTATGGAATACCTCACTTTGCTCTCAAAATGGTTTTTTTCTCTAACTTGGTGTGTTCTACAAATGAGCAAGAATGCTCTATTTATAGAAAGATAAAACCATGCTTATGTCACTAATGACATATGTAAACATAGCAAAGTCAAGAATGGTTGCAAATCTTACCGATTTGCCAACTAGCAAATCTTTTCTTTTCAACTCCAATTACTATTCCTTTTTAACAAATGCTTGTACCAATTGAATAGCTAAAGTTGACAAACATTTCACATTGTTGAAATAATTTCTTAGGACAGTGCCCAATACGACTCAATTATTTATCAATTTATGCATTATTTTTATATATCGTCATAGTAATATTTATCTTATTTTCAGGATCATTGTTTTGCTATAAAAATAAAGTTGTTGTTGTTGTTGTTGTTGTTGTTGTTGTTATTATTATTATTATTATTATTATTATTATTATTATTATTATTATTATTATTGTGAAATTCTTAATATTTTCCCAACAATGCATGCATTTTATTTTATGCCTGCGTTATTTTTGTTAATACACTTTACCACGACCCTAAAGAGTGTAAATAAAGTCCTTCAAAGTGAGGTAGGGCCAAAAACAGATCACTTTGATAAGCTCAAGATTTTATCGGGTAAATTTCATAGATGGTCACGTAACATTCACTTTTTTTGCCAAAAGTCACTTAATCCTTTCTAACACAAAAATCACTAAACAAGCACACTAACACAAAATCCCACAATAGGTAAATACTAACTTTTGGTGGATAACTCACTTTTGAAGAAAATAAATAACCCTTCATACTAGTTAATCCTTTTTCCCTACCAGTTTAACATGTTTGGTTTGAATCTTATATATATAAAAGAAAATTCTATGCCAGCCTACGTGGCATCCTTAAAATTCAGGAATTTACTTTTTATGTTTTTTTCGTACTTTGGATTTTTTTTTACCCCTATCGTATTATTACCTTTAACCCCTTTTCTTCAACTCTTTCGTTCTTTAATATGAAAATGGTTCTTCTTTTAATATATTTTATACTATATGATAAATAAATATAGAATGTATATTGAACTGAGTATTTTAAGATGAATAAGAAAAAGAATACACAATTAGAACATTTTAAGTTTAAAAATATGAGTTAACCATTTATTTATAGCCAATAAAAGTAATATGAATATGTGTTTATTGTGCCTTATCAGAAAAAACACAACCCTTCAAAAAAACACAACAATTCAATAAGGTAACAATCCATCCAAAAATTTACAACTCTTTAAAAAAGTCATACCACTTGGGAAAAGTCACAACCCTTTGGAATAATCACAACCCTTCTGATTTGTTGCAACCCTTTGAAAAGATCACAATTCATCGAAGAAATCAAATTTTTTGTAAAAGTCAAAACTTTTTGAAAAAATCCGAACCTTTAATGTGAAAAATTATAGGCTTTTGATATATATTATAATATAATAAATGTAAGATAACATAAAATATAAAAAGATACACTAAATCGGATATTTTAAGTTGGAGGTATTATAGTAATTAACATTCACGTAAGAAAGTTCATCCTTTTAAGGTAGTATAATAA